AGTATGAAACTTATAGGTCAACGTTAAAAAAATACCCAGACACATTGCTTGGGATGTTATTTCAAGATAAAAATAAACAATTTCTTGAAGCAATGAATGGAAATGAATATTTTATTGATCGTAATGGATATGCATTTCGATACATTCTTGAATATTATCGTAATGGTGAAATATATTGGCCTAATGAAAATTCTGATGAAAGTAGCCATAGTTTTACGACAGTTTCAAGACGAGAATTGAGAGCAGAATTGGATTTTTTCCAAATACCAGTTGACATTTCAATTAATGCACCTTTGAATCAGTTTGTTTCTAATGAAACGTTATCAGATAAATTAGATGGATTTATTACAGCATTGAAAAGTAGTATATTTGAGGCAGAATTCAATTTTCGTAAATCAGTCAATATACAATTTCATAATAATATTGGTGGAGATATTAGTAATGTGATGTATATTGTTAGTCCTAGAATTGAAAAAATTGTAAATAGATTGAGGCCTTATGAAAGTTGTGGCTATAGTATATTGAGGTTATTTGGCGAAAAAATCAAGACTCACATTTATATGACTATACCTTGTATTAAATGTAATGTAACAAAAAAATCTAGTCCTGACAGTTTTATTATTGATTTAATACTTGAAGAAGAATTTGATGTTAAAGTTATTGAAGATAATTCTAAGCATCTAAGATCTTTAGATATTATGTGAAATATTTATTTTATGTAAAATATAGAACATTTTCTAATTGTTGTGATTATTATAAATAAACAAATAAATAAAAGTTTAATGTATTTTTAATTATGGTAAAGATGGTTAAGAAAAGGAAAACTAATTAAACAGTGATAATTCATTGAAAGCAACAGAATTTTTCAACCTTTTCGTGCTATATGTTATGTCACTAATGATATATCTTTTGACCTCCAAGCTTTGGGACTGCTTATTTCTTAACTGCATGTGTTGGAAATAGTTTTCATGTATATGATGTATGTTAAAGTTTTATCTATATTCATAATTTGTTTTTTCACTATTGATTATTATTAACCATTTGCAGCAAACAAGGAACAATGAAAATTTGGAATATTCATAAAAAACACATGTTTTTAATATATAGTTGTTTTTTTTTTTTCAAAAAAAAATTATTTTCTTTCTATGTTACCTTGATTAATTCCTAAAACTTTGCTTGGTTTATTCATTTTGTTTCATTTGAAACATCAATCACATATCTAATTCAATCGCCAGTTGCTGTTGGTTGCTAATGGAATAATAAAATCATATAATAATCAATAATATTTAAAAAATCTGAAAATAGGTTGGGAAATAATAATTTAACTCATTAAGAAATTCATCAGAAATATTCTGTGAATTATGTAGTTTTTTTAATGCCACAATCATATCTTTACTATACCTTCCATTATTATAATTTACACTTTCATAACCATTTAACCAAGTAGCTTTAGATATAGTTGAGTTGCAAAACCACCTTCACCTATCTTTTCAATATTTGTTAAATTATTATAAAGAATCTATTGAAGATGATTGCTATAATGATACTTGGTTGCTTCAAGTTGTGTGCTTTTAATCAACTCATCTAATATTTCATTGCCACTAGTCCATCCTTCAGTTAATAATTTTGGATCGCATGATTGACACCATGCCCAATTAGTATTATATCTATTGCAGGTTGAACATTTCCCATATTCTTGATATCTTTTATCAGAATATTCATCACCATCATTTTTGCCAGTAGAAGTTTCACCATGATGTTTATTTTTATCCAAAGTGTTTTCCATCTTTTAAAATTATTGTAATTTTTTGTTAACTCGTCAAAAAAAAAATTTTTTTCTAAAGAAATTTTTTTTAGCCACAAATATGTATCACTCACTAGTGCTAGTATATACTTTGGAAAATTTTTTGTAGAACACTACTTCTTGTTATCAACATAATTCAGTAATTGTGTAAACAATAATAAAAAAAAAGCCCAACAAGAATAATCAAACAACAAGTATTGTTAGTAGAGAAGATGCATTAATCGGGTAAATATTGTTAGAGAGAGAGCTATCCTAGTTAATTTATATATTTAGCATGGCTTAACTAAAACTTTGACTTATATTTCTTGGTACATATCACCAACACCAGAAACCACTATTATTGCTGCTCTATTGCTACCACTAGGATTAATATTAATATTCCTGGATTAAAGGATTCAGAAGATTGTACACTTATCTTGACGGAAGGAAGATCATCGAAAGAATTTGCATCAGAAGATATAAAAATTCTAGGTGATGGAGAATGGGGCTTGTATCCAATATGTGGAAAGTTTATGAATGTCAGAAACGCATCTCCAAGTCAAATATCACAAAATGAGCAACCAAAAAGACATTTGGATTGAATGATAACATGTCATTAAATAATTTACGATACGGAAGCACTTTTAATGATGACTGACCAAGCAATTATCAGAAAGTTTTATGGTTATCACAATCACCAGTTTATTATTTATTTTATTTTATGAATATGATTATGCATAAAAGAATTGTCTTTGTGAAAACAAAAAAGCCAGTTTTCTTTAAATTTTTCATAATGCCTGTAGTTAAGGTAAAATTAATATAATAATAACAATACGGTGCAGATCATCTATAATAATAACAATCGGTCAACTTCAAAATACTAAAAAACAAAAAAAAATTTAACCGATAAGTTTTATTGCTCATGACTCAAGCTTCAAAACTTATCGGCTTAAACTGAAAATTAGCTGAGCCTTAGCTAGGGCTTCTATTCGAATAAAACGAATAATTCGAATAAGAAATTTGATTCGAACAAGGAAAATAATTCGGATAAAGAGATTAATTTTGAATAAAGCAAATAATTCGAAAAAATTAATTCGGATAAAACAAATAATTAAGGCCCAGTTTAAATGCAAGCTCGCCGGAAAGATTGATATTTATTAAAAGAAACATGAATCTTGTTTCAGTCTTTCCTTGTTAGTTTCATTTTTAATTTCAATTTTTATAATAATAAAATCAATATTAAACCTTGTTGTATATATAGTTTGAATATTTAAGTAATTGAACAACCCATGATTCCAAATAATCTAATAAATGAATGAACAATCCCAAGATTCTGACAATGAATAAAACAAATAAAACAAATAATTTGAATAAAGCGAATTAAATTTTTAATTTGAATAAACTTTTAAATTTGAATTAAAGGTCAACTGTATTACGAATAGTTCGAATAAGAATTTGTATTATGAACAGAAACCATACTGCTTTCTTGTCCAGTAAACATTCAGTATAACAAAGGAATTTCACAAATACTGAGTGCTTATTGGTTGGGCAGGAAAACTGATCTACATTTGGGATTTGGCAAATTCAATTTGTACATTTGGGCCATATTACCAAATAATTTTAGCACAATTGCTTAACTCTTGTTGGACTAGATTTTGAAACAGCATCAACAGCAAAACTTAGTTATTTATCTTTCTTCTTCATCTCATCAATTAAAGGTTAAACCTTCTTTTGTATTGTGACAATTAAAACATTCTTTTTTAGTCATGGTTATTTTTCTTACTTTTAAACTATATCTTAAAGTAGTTTACAAAAAAAAAAAAAATCAGTGTTCAATCATGAAAGAGAATTCTTTAAGTTATGGTTGCAATGGAACATTAGTATTGGTTTCAAAATTTCACCAGGATAAAAATAGGCAATAAGTTTGTTAGATTTTTTTTGCCCTATGCTTTCAAAATCATGTATTTTTCCACAAAAATCATTCGCAAATTTGCACAGCATCATGAAAATATACAATTTTATTGGTGAATTAGGTGCATGTTATCCTTTTTTTAGAGATTGATTGGTGATTTGTGGATGATTTTTGTGGAAAATACATGATTATAGGGCATTCTGTCTTTTGTACATTCTCATCCTGCTTTCTTTTTCTAACATTTATTATTTTTCTTTCTTCTTGGTAAATTTCATAAGTAATCCCTTCTTTTTTTAGACAGGCTTCTAGTACCTGAGCATCATTTATTTTGAGCAATTTTTCACCTTGTTCTTTCTTCAAAATACTTCTAATTATGCTATAATCTTTGGGTGCCTAATATAAATTAATTTCATATTAACTATTTTTGTCTAGACAAATATCATGATCACATTATATTGGTAATACAGTTGGATGTTAGACAAACATATTGATCCCTGAAATCTGTTACAGTATGCTCCATATGATGGGGAAACAAAATTGAAATAATGATAATCCATTTTCCACACCTTTCTCAACCACATCTCATCATCATCACAACCCTCTTCATTAAAAAAAAATACACAAACTTTTGATCTTTTGTATACAATGATAGTAATGACAATAAAGAACATGTTGCTTGATCAACATATAAGTCAATATGGGAAAAATTATAAAGCAACAAAAACAAATTGAGCTTGCTAAATTATCAGGAAATCATAAGAGTAAAAATATTTCATTTCACCCTTTTGAGATTTAAATGATCAATTGCTGATCAATCAAGAGTCACAAGATCCAGAATTTATGTAGGGCCAATGGGATTACAACAAAATTGATAATTATGATTAATTAGATCTTCCAAGCAAATAGCAAAAGTATTTATTTACTGACAAATTTGATAATTCCAATACAACAATTAAATCCTATACAACATTTGAAGTTATAAAATGGAAGGAGAATGCTGAAACGGTATTGATAACTGATACAATTAATGGAGGATCCAATCATCTAAATCTGAAGATGGTGGATTTTATAAGGAGCTCAATCAGAAACATTAGCAAATGCTGAAAATTTCTAATGAGAAATTAAATTATTAGCTAATACATAAATGTATATATATTGTACATTATATTATAAATACAAAATAATATTATATATTTATATGATAATTAATAATTAGTAAGAATAATAAATTTAAAAATTTTCTAAAAAAAAAAAAAAGAAAAAAAAATTAGTTTAATTATCAAAAAATTTACAAAAAGAAAAAAACTAACAACCTTTTCCATAAAAAAACCTTGTGCCACTACCAGCTACATCGCTCCATAAATTACATTTGTTATGTAAAACTTTATCAAGTGCTTTTGGTCCACAAAAAAATACACCGACATCAGTTTCAGGATATTTTGTTCTCATATTTGAAAGTATCTTATCCCAATTTGGCCTGCCAAAATGAGTTGGTGATTTGAGACCGGTGATGGTGTCCTTAAGAGTTCCATCATCATTAGTATATATATTGCCAATTTCTGATTTACGTAATTGGCCAGTCAGGTATGTATGTATTTCTATAAATTGATCAATATCTTGTTCTTCTATTGCCATTAATAGTGATTGGAACCATTCAAACGCCTAGTGAATGAGTAGATTTGCAAGTTTGAGAGTTTGTGAATAGACGGACAGATGGAGAGGACAGAGTGAATATCAGTTATTTATTTTCTCATTATAAATTAAAAAATAATTTATATATATTATTATGTTACATACTGCATAGTCACGACTAACCCAGAAAAAATAAACTTTACGAAGCCGTGTAGATTTTGTTGGGTAAGTGACACGATACCTAAATGTAATATCAGTTTATTGATTAATTGATAGTGATAGAAAAACTTTATTTCAAAATTTAAAAAATAATTTCATACCAAATACTTTTCAAAATGCTAGCAAAAGGTGTAACACCAATACCAGCACCAACAAGAACAGCAACCTCAAATTTAAATACGTCTTCAGAAGCACTGCCAAAAGGTCCATCAACCATAATTCTGGGCAACACTTTTTGTAATCCTGGGTTATCCAATGAAATATCAACACCATCATAAATACTTTTTAAACGATCCTTGTTTTTTTCACGTAGTTTTGCTTCTTCTTTATAATCACAACCAAGTTTAGTTAACAATTTTCCAGTAAAGTCTCCCAAGACTCTAACATGTATTGAAATATAATCTTCTTCGGGTGCTGATGTTAATGTAAATGGATGCCATTCCCATAATGAAATTTCTGGACAACATATAAAGACATATTGGCCTGCTTTAGATACAATGCCATCTTTTCTCATTTGAATTTCAACAACTTTCGATGGATGCATTATAACTTTTGAAATAAAAGTTTTCCGTCTGGAACGTATTTCACGTAATATACGTTCACCGATGTAAACCAGACCAGATGCAATCCAATACTTCCAAAAACTTGCTATATCATCACAAAATGGTGGTCTGTCAGGTTTGATCATACAAAAAGCACCATGAAAAGCCCAAACTCCAAAAAAAGGTATGAACAAATGATGAAAATACCAAAATGTATTAAAGTTTCGATTTCTAGCTTTTTTACTTGAAGTGACTACCATTATCAATAAACATATAAGCATCACATAACCGGTTGCTCCAGGTCCCGTAGCAAAATTTAGTATGAGAAAATCGACTACACCACCTTGACTTACAACAATTGCCAATCGATAAAAATTTACCCAATGTGCAACTGTGTGTACAATGGTGAAGAAGACAATTGAATATCCAATCAGTTTATGAAATTGGATATTCTTATCAAATGGAATCACATTGTTTAATGGTGTTGCTCGAACTAATGAAATTAAATTTCTACAAACTGGAAATAAAATGAATGCCGCGTCCACATGAAGAACCAGTGCTGATGATTTTGCTATTGTAAATGTTATTCCAAACTGACCTCTAGCCTCTGTTAAATTACCATCTAAATAATAACGAATGAATGCCATTGAAAATACCAATCCATGAATCATGAACCAAACTGCCGCAAATATTTTTCTATTACCTTTATTAATTATTTATTTATTGTGTTGAAGTTATTGAATTAGATGAATTCGCCTTTTGGGTTGATAATAATAATAATAATAATAATAATAGCAATGTAATAAATTCAAACCTTCGTTTATCATCCAAGCTTGAAATATCTCAAATGCTGTAACAGGTTTCTTGGCAGCAAAATTACTTTCATTACCACTAATTTTATTAAATGTAGATTTTGAATTTGAGTTTGGCTGCATAAGAGTTTGTAAATGTTTGACAGAATCACCTCTGTCGAGTGGTTTTTTGATTGAGGTTTCTTTGATTAAATTTGGAGATTTTTTTGTGAATTGAATGGAAGCTTCTTCAAAACCAGCATCATTATTATTGTATTTACCAGTTGAATAATTGTTTACCACGCCATTATTATTGTATTTACCAGTTGAATAATTGTCTATCACATCATTATTATTGTATTCACCAGTTGAATAATTGTCTATCACATCATGGTTATTATTAATATAGATATCATCATCGTCATTATATTGTTGGTATCTAGCATTAGCAGCAGTATTTGAATAATTTTGATTATATTGATTATATTGATTATATTGATTATAATTCATTATGGTTTTTGTTACAATTTATTATTTATTATTTATTTATTGTTATGAAAATTTATAATTATAATCATTGGAAGAAACAAGATTACTAAAGAATTCGTAAAAAAAAAAAACTTTTTGGGACGAAAAATGTGTATTTATAACCTTTTGTTTATACATCGTGAATTTGAAACATAACATCTTCAGGAGTGATCCGCATTAAAAATGAAAAAAAGAGACCTTTCAGGCATTATAAATCACTAAATTAGGACAATATTACTGATAATCATTGACGCATGAAAGCACAATTCAAAAATTCAAATGTTTACATATATGATAATGTCACAAAACTGATTAGTATTAGTGCGGCACCATTCTGTTCATTTTGTAATTATTAAATATTTATTATTTCGTCGCCAAGAAACTTTGCACGTTTATCAATGAAATCCACAAGCTCCCTTATTAAAAACCATTAAAACCTCTCCTTATGTAATACACATAAAGGATAGGGTTATAGTGCCCCTCAAAAAATGACAGCGCTTGAGAGAATCGCGCCTAGTTTTTTTTTTTTAGTGGTCGCGGCTATCCGCCCAGGGTTTGGGTGGGAACAAACTTGTCAAGTAATAGTAATGAATCCTTAACATCGAAAGCAAATTTCAAGAGACCATTCTTTCGATTCCTAGATGATCATGTAACACTACAGTAGGACATACCCTAATTTCCACATCATCATTACCATTAATGATAAATGGATTCCTAATAACTATTCATTCACAAGCGGGTTCATAAAATTTCGTCGAACCATTTTACGAATTTACCATGACGTGACACACCCAACATTCCATTAGCATTAATAATTCTAGCATTAATATTAACCCTTTTTTGGGAATTTGATCGTCTAATTTAAAATAAGAATGAATGTGCTAATACATATTTATTTTTAAATGCTGTATATGTATATATATATATAATTATTATTATATCGAGTTTTAATTAATATCTATGAAGTAATTTTAATAGTTCCTTGCAAACAAGTTAAAACTGTCCCTGCCGGATCAATCACTATATTCATAAAAAAAAATTTTTTTTTATTATTTCCCAATTGTTATAATAATCAATCAATCATTTATTTAAAGCAAGTAATTTAGTTGGTTTACCTTTTACACGAGTAAAAATTGAGGGCATACTACTAAGTTTGTTGTCATTTGGTATAGCTTGAGTGATTGTAAAATCGAAGTCACCAGCTGCTATTGGACAAGTTAAAGTGGGTGTGTATTTGACGACGTTACTACAAAAATCTTCTGTTTTTTCTAAAACAGTAACTCCAAATACGGTTGCTACAATATTAACAGTTGTTCCATCACTAATTCCGACTGTGCTTTTTCCAGCTAAATTCATAGTGAGATCTTGTCCAATCTTAATCGGATCTGGAGAATATGAAAAATCAGCAATAGTTATTGGTGTGTTTTCTTGACATAGTTCAAATCCATTATTAATCGCTCTTTTTTCAACCGATATTGATGATGCTGGTATTACACTGGCCGTAGTAAGTTGAGTTATTAATACTAATAATATGGTAAAGATTATGAATTGTTTCATTTTAAAAATTAAAAAATTATTTTCGAAGGCCAAGTTTTTACTTAAAGGGAATTTATTTTTTAAAAAACTCACAGTGGGTGGGCAAGTGAACGAACATATTTTATTTATATAAAATTCATTTTGCTGTGAAATTGGCGTATCCTTGTTTGGGTTGTAAACAATTGGATTGGTTGTCGAGACATTATTTTTAACCACATTTCTATAATAATAATATCGGAGCTTACAATCAATTATTACTATTGTAGTAATTGATAATAACTATAATAGTTATTATTATCATTATAATAATTAAATTGGTAATAATGGTAAAAACCATTATTGAGCACTAACCTTACAAAAAGAAAAAAACAATTTTTAATATATGGAAGACATACTTTTGATATTAATATGGAATACAAAGACACATTTACGAAATACGGAATATTTTTGGGGCCGTGTTTTCTGTACAGTAATAGTAATAGTGAAAAGTGCATTTTTCGGATTAGTATGTATCAGTATTAGTATTCAGTACATAATTTTTTATAGGAATTGAAGCAAAATCATAACGTGAAACAAGATTCTCTGAAACAAGGATTTTTCATTGGATTAAATCTATTAGATAGTATATAAATCAGATTCGAACCAAATCAAATCATGATTTATTCATTGGATTAATTTATTTATATATATTTTATCAGTAGTGATATTAGCCAGTTAAGAAATTTATCGGCTTAGTCGGCTTAGATGCTTAGTCGGCTTAGATGGCTTACACGGCTTAGCCGGTTTATATGGCTTACACAGCTTAACCGGCTAATGAATTTTTAAACGGCTTAGCCGGTTAAAAAAAATTTCTCTTGACAAAAAAAAAATACATTTGCTCAAAAATCAAAATACAATACATTATAGCAGGATAAAAGTCATAGTTAGAATTATTCGTTCTATTCGAATTCTTCTAATTCTTCATTTATTCGAATAAACTTTCAACGTAATTCGAATACTCAAATTCATAATGAATAAAACAAATCATTCGAATAAACCTTATTCGAACCATTAAAGACGAGATATTATAATAACAATAGTAAATAACAGTGACAACAATTAAAGTAATAATAACGATAGTAATATTATAATAATACCGGCAAGCTTGAAAATTTTTTTCATCAACTGGAATTTGTTTAAGTTCTTAGCCGGCTAATTATCAGTTATATATTTATTCGAAACGAATCGAAAATTAGGTAATTCAAATTTCATTGGTTCGCTCAGAGCCTTAATACTACTTCGACTTGAATACCAAATAGATAAATTTTAAGATTATAGATCCTACTTTTGTGCTTAATACTACAATAGCATGCCTTCCTTTACCTTCCATCCTTGAATAAACCAGTTTTCTTTGTTTTTTAACTAACTTGGTATTTTTGTTATAATAATTTCTTCCTAACCTGGCTTTCTTGTATTTAGAAAGTCTTCTACTTCTTTCTCCATATAGTTTTTGTAATGCAAGCTATTTCGAAGATATTGACAAGTATCGCACAAATCAGTTGTTGGATCAGGTTTTAAATTGTCCGTTTCAGTGATGCCGAAATTATGATGATGTACCGAAAATAGTTACGGTTAACTGAAACCTAATGTCAAATTATTTCCATTTCAAACTACAGGATTTCGTTGTGCATCACTGGTGTGTTCATTCTTATGATCCATCATCCATTGCTTTAAGTTTGGTCATCAAAAATATGCCTTTTCTGGTTTGGTAATCATTTGCTTTTTTGTATTCATTGGAGGCATTATTGTTGTTCTTCACATACATATAACCTTATATATATAAATTTTATTTAAAATACTAGATTCTGGTATACAACGAATTAAAAGAGATTCTTGTGTGCATCTTGTCAAGAAGAACATTTGAGCTTAGAAATTAAATCTACTACTTCAACGTGACATGTCTCGTAAATTGCCACTAATGAATTCCAGTAATCTTAGCAACAACAATAACAATAACAGTAGTAGTATCACCATTAGTATTAGCAGAAGTCCAATCAATCATTATGCGTTATCTCCACCTTCTAATGACTCACCTTAAATGTAAAATATGATTCGAGTAAAATAATTTTATAAAATTTAGTAGATTATTATTATTATTACTCTGCTGTAAATAAATCTATCATTTTATCTTCTCGCATCAACGCTTTTGAATTTGCTAGGTGATCGAATTCTACTAACCAAATAACGCTTTCGAGTAGTACATACAGTTCCGGATGTTGTTTGAGGTTTACAAGTAAAGCTTTCTTGAGTAGTGTTTGCTATTTGTATCATTATTTAAAGCTTGTTAAATGTTATATAAACCTTTTATAAAGTTGAGGGTATGCAAGAACAGCTCATATATTTCTACAACTTTATGAATTAGTATTGTTGTTGTTTAGCAAAATGTGATATTTATTGTTGGAAAAAATGCTTCTATTATGAGCTGGTATTGACATGATACAATGAAGGAGTAAGGCAAAGTTTCTCAAAAATTTTATATTGAACTGACGTAAAAAAATATTTAATGGATGTATTTACCACTGTATACAACTCTTTGCTTAGGATATTTTTGGATACTCTTGAAATGCAGAAAAAAATAAAAGTAAAATATTATAATGCACAAAAAATATACGGAAAATAGGTTTTTAAAAACCTAGTATGTTTTGTAGGTAAGGTTGTGATTCCATATGTATTCCGTATGCATTCCATATTTTATTTTTTATAAGGTTGAGAAGCCCCCATATATGTAATTGTGTTGTGTGTGGTAGATAAATTTAACAAGTATTCTACATAAAAATTTTATTAAAAAAATCAAAGACGAGAGCTTCCTGTATTTTTGTCAAGTAGTTGGAAGATTGGATTATATATTAATACATTTCAGTTATCATTTGTTAATGAAAAAACTGGGTCCTTCTTTTTAGAATTGGGAAGAAATAATATTTTTAAAACGTAGAATATAATCGCCGTAGAAGTCGTCCCTATGCGTTAAAAATGCTGCAGATATAGATCATTGATAAAGGTTTTGGACTTTGTGTTTTGTGTGTTGCAAGCGCAAAGCATTCGGTAAAGGGGAAAATCGTTCCCTGGAAGCAAATGAATCATGCAATATTTACAATTCTATATATATACACAAAAAAATAACATTCATTACAGGTCAATCAAATGATTAAGATGCCTCGGCACTTTTTACCATTGTAAATAATAATTCAATATTTTCTTTTATTCCATCAATATTAAAATGAATGTGTTGGTTCAGACCTATGCTATTAAAAAATCTTTCCATTTAGTAAATTCTTTATTACAAAGCAGATTATATAAAAAATTTCTAAAAAAACTTTCAACGGAAAGTTGTTATCAATAATGACTAGCACCAGACTCGTGATTCCTTAAAAAACAAGCTCGTGTAAAACCTTTAGCTTATTTTGTGTCCATGATGACAATTGTGAGGGCTTTTTACGAAAAATCCTATTTGAAGAATTGATTAATTATCTTAGAAGCATATATTCCATATACTAAGTAAGTTACAGATAAAAAAATCCAGGTTCACAAACTCCACGGAGTTCCTAATTCCACTTTCGCAAAAATCCAAGTTATGATGTATGAATCCAAGAACAACATCTCCATAAACTAATAACCTATATTTCTACTTCTATTCAACCCGTAATAAACGAGTAATTGAATGAATGCTAAATAAAGTAATTCCACGTGACAAATGCCGATAAAAGTTCCTCCAATACCAACAACGTCTCATCGAAAAGGTGGAGATATTTGGATTCCGAGCTACCTATGAATAAGACGACCAGGAATTTGCGTAAATGTTTTTAACAGTCGAGTGACAACTCTTGTAAAAATAGGTAAATACTACCACTCCTTAGCACGAAATTTAAAGCTTATAATAAATCAAATAGGAGACATACCAAAGGATTGAACCTGTCAGTCAAAACTTTAGGTATCAGCAAGAAAATATTGATATTTTCCAAAGTCGTGCAATTGATAACTGTTTTTTATTCACGGCTCATATTTGGTATGAATCGTAGGCACGGACTTGGCCGGGTCTTTTGTAATGAGGTTCCTGTAGATAATCGTTTTATAATATCACGAAAGGCATGAATAAAACCATCAGGTTAATGACACACATCTTATCATTTTCTTGAACGATGAAAATAATAGACGATAGAAAGTTAGAAGTTAGAAAAAACAATGATCACGGAACTTGTTAAAAAGAATTATAAAATGAAAGGTTATTTAGAAAAATTGGTTTTATTTGTGTCTTAAAATATTATTTTGTTCTTTTACTCAAGTGAATCAAAATTGGCAGAGAATGTGTAAAATAATCTAAGCTTCCATTACTTTGTAAGGGTTTTGTTTTAATCAATATTCTTTAGGCTTTCCCTCTTAAAGGAATCAATGTAAAGATATTTTTCAAAAAAACTTCATTGGTAACACAAAAACAAAATTGAAATAAAATTTTCTATATTTATTATAATAAATAAATGAAATAAATAAGCAAATTTTTATAATTTCTTTTTGTGTGATAAATAATATTAATACAGTATATATATTTGTGTATATATATATGTATTGCAACTAGAAATCATAATTATAAAATTATTGATTAAATGTTATGTTATTATTGTTATTATAATTATTGAAATAACAGGAAAAAAACATATAATAATAACAAATTCAATAGTGAAATGTTTATTAAATTCTCTCACCAGAAAGAATCTAAATTATTAAACAATCTCTATCTATTCTGTAACCTTAATAATAATAAAGAAATTTAATTATCATCATCTTCGCGCCTCGCATTTATGCAATTTTTGGACTAACAAAATAAAAATAAATAATAATTAATTAATAGAATAATAATATATAGAGAAAAAAAAGTATATTTGTACACATACAATATGACCACGTTCATGACAATTATAACATGTTTTCTCAAATCTATCATGTCCTTCGGATGTGGGACAACTACTTGACTAATTAAAATTAAAAAAAAAATAATATATATATTCAGATCAAAGAAGGATAAAAACTTTTTTTTTTCAATTAATGAATTAACTTACAATATGTCCAAATTGTCCACAACTATAACATTTTATTTCATCGGATCTACAATCACGCGCAAAATGATTAGACCCGCCACATTTATAACAAACGACATCGCTATGACCTCCTCCACCACGACCACCTCCACCACGATATCCGCCGCCGCCGCCGCCGCCACCACCACCACCACCACTACCACGATATCCACCACCTCTATATGAACCATATTCATTATCAGGACAATTACGAGCTTTATGCCCCTTTAATTTTTAAATTAAAAAGAAAGAAAATTGAACTTTAATAATTAAATTTTTTTAAAAAAGTGTAGAAAAAAATTAAGAAAACCTACAGATCGGTGGCAATTATAACAACGACCACCACCACCGCCACCACCATAATTATCATTGCCTTCGTTAGGACAATCAGCTCTAATGTGTCCAACTACATTAATTATGAAGAATTAATCATTACATTAGATAATATTATTTACTACTAATTATAATTGATCTAGCATTATAATAATATAGATAAAATTTTTTTTATATAAATCCGTGTTTTTCTCCAAGAATGTTATTAACAGATCTTACCGCCGCCACAATTGTAACATTGTTTCTCCTCGTCATTTTTTGGTCGATCACATTCATTAGATTCATGACCTGGTTGTTTACAATTATAACATAATTTTTCAGTTTCTGGGCAGGATTCTGCAAAATGCCCAACTGAAAAATATTTATAATTTTAAAAAAATTATATTAAACATGTATATTAATTCATCATATTATTGTTATTTGATATATTTTATTATATGTGTGCATATGTAATACGTTTATATAACACTAACCAAGTCCACATCTATAGCAAGCACCGCCTCTTCTGGGATAAGACATTTTTTTTAAAAAAAATTTTGATTACCAAAAAAAAGTATAAGAAAGGGATTAGTAGTAGACAACTTCTTTTTGGATCCTTTTCTTTGTCCAACAACTTTACTACTACTAAACTAAAAAACAAAAGAAACAACAACTATTCAACTTCTACCACTTCTTCCACCTTCAAAAAAAAAATAGAAAGATAGAAGGAAGAAAGTATTATAAAAAAAAATTTTTTTGATGATAAATTGTTTAATTTTTTTGTTAGTAAGCTGAAAATTCGTATGTACCTAGTACAAATTTAGAAATTATCTGCAAGAAATACTAATTTTATTGGATAATTTTTAATACGCCGAATAACGTTGGTAAACGCCCCAGAAACTACGGAACCTTCCGGAATTTGATTTTCCTAAATTAAAAATATAAAGAATATTAATATTGTATATAATTAGATTTTATTCTACACTGAACTTTTCAATGATTGTTCTCCACAGGAAAACAAGTCCGTAAATATCCGTGATCATCTCGGATGTTGTTTTTAATATTATATTGCTTTGGGGGGGGGGGGGTAAAATCAAAATTTTGGGAGGCCACCAAATTGAATGGCTTTTTTGTGGCAAGCAAATTATGTACAGGGGGGAGGCTTCAGGTAAAGAGATGTTGCACCAATAATTTGTAAACCAATAATGCATGATTGAATTATCTGCGCATTAGGTTCTTTCATTGCAACACAGGTGCAACAGATCAAACTTACTATTTCATTCCACAACCATCTATTTGGTTTTAAAAAGACTTGAACTCTTTTTGCCAAACTTTAGTAGTGGTTTTTATTTTATTTTATTTTTCTTACTCTACACAATTCCATCATCTACTGTGCTCTATTAAATTTTAGCTCAAACGAATAATAATAACTGCAACAAAGTTCTCTAAAAATTTTTTTTTTCACAACAATTAAAAAAAATAAATAAATAAAATGACTGAACCTCAAACACGCGAAGATTATGTTTATCTCGCCAAGCTCGCTGAGCAGGCTGAGCGTTACGAAGGTGAGGGTTGGTGAAGCCAGTGAGCCATCCGGGTATCATCTCAGCTTAATTTTTATATTCTTGTGGTTTTTTTTTATTGGGAATTATTTGCTGGCAATTTTATTATTTTTAATACTCTTTTGTTGCATGGTACTTTATGCCTTAAAAAAAATTTTCTTTTTAAATTTTTTTTTTTGATAAAAACCAAAAATGAATTGAGTATAGAAACAATTTAATATTTATCAATTAATAATAATGAATAGTTAAAAAAAAAATTAAGAAATATATATATATATATATATATATATATATATATATGTATATATATATACATATATACATATACACATAGTATTGATTATGGGAAATATATTTATAATAATAATTGTTATTATTATTATTATTATTATTAAGTGGTTAAAATTTTTTTCTCTTTAAAAAAAAAAAAAAGAGAGGGAAATCAAAAAGGCATAATACTCATAAAAAAAATGTAATTTTTATGCCGGTAATTTCCTTAATAAGTATCAGTTTAATGTTAAATTTAATTAATTATCTTATTATATAAATATTATAGAAATGGTTGAAAATATGAAACAAGTCGCTTCTGCTGATCAAGAACTCACTGTTGAAGAACGAAATCTCTTATCCGTTGCGTACAAGAATGTCATCGGTGCACGAAGAGCTTCTTGGCGTATTGTTTCTTCAATTGAACAAAAAGAAGAATCAAAAGGAAATGATACCCAAGTTGGTTTTATTAAGGAGTATAGGGGGAAGATTGAGGTAGAATTGACCAAAATATGTGATGATATTTTAGAAGTACTAGATAAACATCTTATTCCATCCGCCACAAGTGGTGAATCTAAAGTTTTTTACCATAAGATGTTTGTATAATATATTTTTTCATAGATTCATATTCTTTAAAAATAACGATTATTTTATTTATTATTAATTAATTAATCTAATTTTACGTTAATTTAGGAAAGGAGATTATCATCGATATCTTGCTGAATTTGCTACTGGTGACAGACGTTCTCAATCTGCAGATAAATCTTTGGCAGCTTACAAAGCTGCTAGTGAAATAGCAGTCACCGAACTTGCTCCAACTCACCCAATTAGATTAGGCTTGGCTTTGAACTTTTCCGTTTTCTATTACGAAATCCTCAATTCTCCCGATAGAGCTTGTCATCTAGCTAAACAAGCATTCGATGATGCTATTGCTGAATTGGATACTCTTAGCGAAGAAAGCTATAAAGATTCTACATTAATTATGCAATTGTTAAGGGATAACTTGACACTTTGGACTTCAGATTTGCAAGAGAATAGTAAGTTCACGTTTACATACAAATTTATATATACGTTATTCACATGAGATCATTTAACGCTTACGTTGTATTTTTATTTGAAAAAAAAAAAACTATTAGACGAAAAGGCTGATGCAGTCAAGGAGGAGGAAGAAGCAACAACAACAACTACTACCGAGCCAAAAGAGGAGCCTTAATTTCATTTTTTATTAAATCTTCATTTATATATTTTATTTTATATCTTCTTTCAATTTTTTTTTACTTTGATTGTCATCATCATATAAGAAAATTCAAACACATTTGTTATAAAAATTTTATATTATTATTATTTAATATTTATTTATTTATTTATTTTTTTTATTTATGGAAATGGATTTGACTAGAAAATGTTGAATAATAGTAATTATATTATTATTATTATGTGGATCTATTATTGTTTACTATGATGCAAATAAAAAATATAATTAATAGATAATTTGTAGAATGAACATATGTTGAGAAGGAAGAAAAAAATATAGCCCATGTACTCAAAAATACAATGAATTAATTTTGTGAAACGTTAATTTCTTTTGTAACATGATCGTTGCCGACGAGTTGCTAAATCATTGAATTTTTTATTCTTAGGAAAAATTTTTTTAAAAATGTCTGAAATTAATTCTGGACAACTTGTCAGAATGCAAAATGTAGAAAACAGTGCTTTAACAATTTCTGTTTCGGGTGATAATGGTGGAGCTTTAATACCAACTGTAAGCATTCTTTAATGGATTATATATAAACATTTTTAACCATTAATAATGAGAGAGAAATACTTTCTTACACTAAAATTATTAATCAATAATCAGATTAGACGAACTTCTGGTCTTCAAGCACCTATTATGCTGTTGGTTGGGCATCAGGTGTGAGGTTGTTACTAAAAGACTTTTCATGAAAAAAAACAAAAATTTTCTTTCTAATTTGGATGGCATCATATTAATCATATTTTGATCATATAAATTATTCATAGGGAGAAATTTTTACTGTAAGATTTAATCCATCTGGACAGTATGTTGCCTCGGGATCATTTGATAGAACTATATGTATGTTTGAAGCTAAATTATTAAGTTAAACTGATTAAATTAAATGATTAAATGAAAAAAAATTTTTTTTTTTTAAATAGTGTTATGGAATACATATGGTGATTGTTTAAATTATGGTTTATTAAAAGGACATAGTGGTGCGATCATGGAACTACAATGGTCTCGTGATTCTAGGTATTTATTTTTATTTTAATATTGATTGTCTTTAAATCCATCTATCATTCTATTTATATTGTGTACTAATATCCATCATCCATCCATCCATCCATCCATTTATTTATTTATTTATTTATTTATTTATTTATTATTTATTTATTTATATATTTATTTATTTATTTATTTATTTATTTATTTATTTATTTATTTATTTTAGTAAAATTTTTTCATGCTCAACAGATAAAACCGTTGGCGTTTGGGATGTTCCAATGGGTTTAAGAATTAAAAAATTCAAAGGACATTCATTATTTGTTAATAGTGTATCTTCTACACGTAGAGGAAATGAAATTTTGGCTAGTGGAAGTGATGATGGATCAATCAAGGTAATTATTATTATTAAATATACAAATAATTATAAAAATTTTATTTATTTGTTATTATTATATTATCATGTAAAAGATATGGGACCTTCGTCAGAAAGATGCAGCTGAGACATTTATTCAACCATACCAAATTACTTCTACTTGCTTTAGTGAAGTTGGAGATTTAATCTTTGCGGGTAGTTTAGACAATGATATTACTGTAAGTGTTATTTATTATTATTATTATTATTATTGTAAAAGTAATTAAATTAAATGATGAATAAATTATTAGTCCAACTGCTGTAAGACTTTCAAATATGGTTAAAAAAAATAATTTTTTTAACATTTTGACTGAAAATTAATTAATTATAAAGTGAAATAAACACGTGCATGCATATATTTCTTTAGTAAGATTAATAAAAATCTTCGATTATTTAAATAAAGGTATGGGATGTACGCAAAAAAGAAATCTCTTATGTTCTTAAAGGTCATCAAGATACTATAACAGGCTTAAGGTTAAGCAATGATGGCTCATATCTATTGTCTAATGCAATGGACAACACAGGTAATTGATTATATGACTATAAATATTATTTATTTTTTATTGAATTTGTGTATATAATATTTATATTTGTAATCTATCTATTTAGTTAGAATATGGAATGTTCAACCTTTTTGTGCTGGTAATCGTTTATTAAAAATATTTGAAGGTGAGATAATTTTTTGGAATTTCACCTGACCACCCATCCCATCCACTTTTAATGATATTTTTATTTTCATCTACATCATCTTTAATTAATTGCATTCATTTAATTATTAAAGGTGCTCCTCATGGATTCGAGAAGAATCTAATCAGACCAGCATGGTCTTCTGACGATTCACAGATAGCTTCTGGTGGTGGTGATAGAACAGTTGTTATTTGGGATGTATCAAATGGTAGAATCTTATATAAATTGCCTGGACATAAAGGTTCAGTTAACGAGGTTGATTTTCATCCTAAGGAACCCATCAGTAAGTTATTATGATCAATAATTATAATTATTTTTAATTTAATCTGATTATAAATTTAAATTAATTAACTAGTCGTGTCGGGAAGTACTGATAGGCAAATTTATCTTGGAGAATATAATCCAAATATATAAATAGATGGTAATATCAATGTGTTACGTAATTTTAATAGAGCCCTCCTCTATTACTATGTAATAGTGATTATATTTTAATAAATATTAATATATTTTTCATTTAATTTTCCGGAGTTGTCGGATTTTGTTCTTGAACACTTTATTTATAATTTATAAAACTGGAAGAAAAATATTATTAATTCTTCTGGGTTTTCCTCCCACTTTTAAAGTGACAACACGAAAGATTCAAAAGTTAGGAATTCCTTTCTTTAAACACGAAAAAGATATATTACCAGGTTCACTTTAAAAAATCAACGTGGATACACGTCATTGTTGTAAAGAATTATAAACACTTTCTTCACTTTTATTGTAATTCTTTGGTTTTATATATTTTCAAATAAAGGTCAAAACGAAATTATTATAACTATGGGTCGTAAAGAATTCATAGAAGATGTGAAAAAACTTAAGGAACATTTTCGAAGTTTAAATCAAAGAAGTGCATCTTTAGTAAAAGGTAGATACACGATCACCAATTCGTTAATTTAATTTATATTACCTTTGATAATATACCTTTCCTCGGATAAAAAATTAAACATTTCGCGAATTATTTAAATTTGTTTACACATACATGAATATCTTGAATAGATTTTGACTTTCAAGATCCAGAATTAAGTTTTAAATTTGAATACAAACGTGGAAAATCGTTCACGGTACAGATCTTCGTGAACGGTAAGATGGTTCAAAATCACTTGTGAACTTTTTTATTTATATCTTCACCTTCCAAAAAAAAATATAAAAAAATTTCTGGTGCCTCTATCAGAGGCCGTATTGATTGATTAAACCATTGGGTTTTTTTTTAATTGACATTCTAAGACTCGTCAATACAGTCTTATCCTTCCAAATTTAGCGCGTTTGTTTGTGTAGATGGAAGTGAAGAAGATGCAAATTCTGGTAAGAAATACTATCAAAACAAATTAAAATGGCTATTTTCTTTACATATATTTATATTTGCATTATTTGACAATTTTAGCGGCCAAATGTTTATCAAATGTTTGTGTTGATAACAAATCTGTGTGTGAAATTGTAGCGACAATAGTTCCAAAACTATGTGATCATTTCAAGATTGCACTTCCAAGAGATTTGTCAATGAGTTCATTAAAAAAATTCTGTCGACTTCCTAGTATTTCTTCGACAGATTTACGAAAACCTATCCCACAACCATTAACCTTGGTTAATCCTAGAGAAGAATCTTCTGGAAAAGCCTCAAAATCAATAGCTCAGACTCCTTTATTGTTATTGAATAGGGATATGTCAGAAGTTAGACATTTCAAGTAATTTTTAAATGCAATTTTTAACATTAAAGTTAATATCAATAAATATAAATCTATATTTAAATGTTTATCAATTATTTCCTTTAAATTAAGGTACAATGCTGAATTACTTTGTGCTGATGAAATGGGATTTAAAATAGCTGTATCAATGCCAGTCTCACGACTTGGACTTAGTCTAGAAGCTTGTGATGCATGGAATTTAGATCCAGATAGGTAATTAAGATTATTTAAAAAAATTTTTTAATATAATATTAAAATAGAGATTAATTATTTATTATTATCATCATCATCATTATCACTATTATAATATAGATTTATAGTTTGCACAATGCAATTTTCACCTAGTTATATTGATTTACAAGGTGTTATTTCTAATGCCTGTCAGACTAAAGCCTACTTAATTAAGGAAGCTGGCTTAAGTGGTGGTTATAATACAATAAAAGAATCTTTGAAGAAACAATTTCCTGTTAACTTTGCAGTAATGACATCATCTTTGCCAAGGGGAATGCCTAGTCAATCACACCATAAAGACGAGAATTTAGAAAACGATCATTTTATTTTGTCGTGGACTTTAACAGAACTTTTGGGTGATAAATTTTTTGATATGCTGTGTGATCGTATATGGTTTGGAATTGGTTGGTCAGGTGCAGAATATGCTGATCTTATAAGAAAAAGAGAACTGGTCTCTTCCTTTCTTAATGATGAAAAATCAATATATGATGGACAAATAGATGATTGTCTAACTCAGGATGAACAATCACACACTGTGCTTTATTATCTTGAATCAGAAAAGATGGAATCATCTAGTGCTTCTAGGAATCAAAATTTTCTTTTACTATTATTACAATTCCTTCGTCGAAGGATTTTGCTTTCAACGAGATATTGTCTTACTTGCCATTACCCTCACACGGAATCTGTGTCATCAATACGACCTTTTGTTTGCGGCAGTGCGTTGTGTCAACATCAAGCTTTAGTGGGATTAGGAAATCTTTTCGAATACGATTTGATCAATAGTCCTGTTGTTGTTGATTTATTGATATCGTTGTGTCATATAGCAATTTCTTTATCAAATCTTAATCCTTGTCCATCTAAGGCAATTGGGGTCACCATATCATCAAAACACACTGTTCAAAACTCTTTAATAGTAAGTTGGGATGCAAACCAAGGAACCATTGGTATTCCAACCGAAAAGGGATATAGAGTTTCTGGATGGAAAACTTTTGAGGGTGAAGTCTGTGTTAATGATTTGTTGGAGGTTTATCATCCAGAAAATGAACAACCTTTCACTGTTAATCGTTGCAGTCCAACAACAACCGTGCGTGTTCTAGAGGTTGCAACAAATTTTATAATTACCGACTTTCCCATAATTGTACCAAAAACATCTGTTCCTACTAGACATGTTTACTTACCATTCCGGGTATATCGTCGAGAAGAAAAAAATTTTTTAAATTATGACGACACACCAAATTATAAACTTTTAAAACACGTTATCGCTCTATTTCCTTCTGTACGTGTAATGGTAGAGTATGCCAAAAAAAAGACTCTAAAATCCGAACTTGATAAATTAGATCCTTTATTATTTCCTTTGTTATCATGGATAATCTCTTCGAATAGGACACATTTACGTTTATTGGAATCTGAAGATGAAAAGGTTCAATTAAATGATACTAATCCAACAAATGGCAACTGGAAACAATTTGTCATGATAATGAGTTCACCTGAGAAAGAACAGACCTTCCAAAATGAAAAGAAAAAACTAGGAATTGAAAGAGGGGGCCAATGTGAGAACTTTTTTTTAAAAAAAAAAAATAAATAATAGACATTTTATCATCATAATTAATTGATTGATTTTTTTTTTTTAAAAAAAAAACGAAACTTTATAGCTTCAGGTGAATTGTATGCTTTTCATGGTTCACCGATCCAAAATTGGCATTCAATTATTCGGTAATTTTTTATTGGTAATTGATTTGTATGAAATTTTCTGATTTAATTTGCTGAACAATTATTTATTCTAGAACGTCATTAAACACAAAGAAAGTTTCTCATGGTCGAGTTTACGGTGATGGTATTTATCATTCACTTCAAGCTGCAACTTCTACGTCATATACTGGAGCTTCTCACCACAGGTTCGATACTTATAATTGGAAAAACTCCATGTTAAATGTGATAAAGTGTATGGCATTGTGTGAAATTATCAATAGGCCAACAGAGTTTACAAGGTAATAGCTTTTAATAATAATAGTTTATAATTTATGATCTTAATTCAAGATTTCATGGTTGTTATTAAAATATAACATTGTATTGTTGTTTTTGATTGTATGTAGTACACATCCACATTTGGTTGTTAGAGATGAATCATGGGTTACTACAAGATATCTTTTTGTTGAATGTCGCCAAGAACCGATAGAGATTTTAAGTGAAGATCCTAGTCATGATTGGTCAATAAGTTCTAATCAAAATAACCAATCTTATTATAAATTGCAACCATCAATTACGTTAAATCGCAGTCCAAAAAACAATGTTGTCGTATACATAACTTTAGACCCGAAATACACTCCCATATGGCTTAATGGTCAACAACTAAAAATCCCAAAATGTGATTTCTCAATTATTAGCAATGATTTACCTATAAACGGATCACATAATGTTGGAGAATTCTTTTATAATCCAATAGAGCATCAAAAATTGATTTCTGATACTTCTTTAAATTCAACGAACAAAGGATCGATATTTGATGATAATATTGACGAGGAAGATGAATTTAATGAAGATTATACAGAAGATTCCGAGATGAATGAACTAGATGATAGCGATGACCAAAGTAATTCAGATTTTGATGGGTTTGAAGATGATGAACTCGATTTTGGAGATGACGACAATGGCAATGAAGGTGGTAAAAAGAGGAAAAAAGAGGAAGAAGAATATTGTAATACCAAAATTTAGTTTTTTTATTCTTAATGATTGTTTTTTTATAACTTAACTAATTGCTAATTTGTTAATTTATTATTGATTAGCAAATAGTTTTGATCCAACATTATTGCCACTTCCTGGTAAGTAGAGACATTTTTTTCTATAATGTATAAGATATAAGACAAATTTATTATAATAATGCTTTATAAAAAATTGTTTAGAGTGCTCTTCAAAAGCAGCAACGCAAAGAATATGTCGTGAATTAAAATCAATTATACAAAGACAAAATGGCGATTCAAATGATTCAAATGATTATTTGGGATTCTTTATTAATGTTGACTTAATACAATCAGTTTATCAATGGGTTGTGTATATATGTATATTTACAAATTACGATTTTTTTTTGAATTAATGAGACGTTTGACGGTAATTTGAAATACTTGTAGGTTGTACAACTTAAAGATTTCGACCGAAATTTACCATTAGCTCAAGACATGGTTAGAAATAAAATTAACACTATTGATCTTGAGGTTAGATTTGCACCAGATTATCCATTCGTACCACCGTAAGTATTATTATACTTGTATAATAATACATATACACAACTATCTAATGACACCTTCTACATGTAGATATATACGTGTCATAAGACCAAGACTTTTAAGATTTGCCGATGGCGGTGGCGGTCATGTAGGTTTTCTCAATAACGAATGACATAAAAAACATTTATCCATATGATTAGTTTGTTTATTATATATTTTTTTAAAAATAGGTAACTGCTGGAGGATCTATTTGTATGGATCTTTTGACACTTGGTAATCAACACGAAAGTGGCTGGTCATCTGTATACACAATGGAGGCTGTTTTACTACAAGTATTTATTTTCAAGTCCTTGTTATCATTAAACTTTTTTTTCCGGTTAATAAACTAATTCAACTAATAATTAAATATATATATATATAGGTTAAAATGGCATTGAGCTCATTAGAACCAAGACCTGCTAGACTTGATCGTCAGTGGTATACTGAGTATAGTCCTGCTGTAAGTATACTTCACCAGAAAAAAATTGACATGGTTTCTTTATAAGTAGAAAAGAATTTATTATATATATATATATATATATATATATATATTTATATATTTACTTTTTTTAGGAGGCAATTGAGTCATATATCAGGGTAGCCAATCAACACAACTGGTCTGTCCCGCCACATTGGGCAGCGTTATTTGGTCGTTAATAATTGTTCATGCATTGATCATAACATGATTGTTATTTTTTTAATTTTTTTTTTTATTAAAAAAAAAATTGCTTTTATTTTTCAAAAAATCTTATATTGATATTAAACTAGTATCAATATAACTACCTAAATATATATATATATATCTATTTATCTATAAGATTAAATAAAATCTTAAAGTTATCCTCTGTTATGTATGATTATTGTTATTTCTCAAATAAAGAGAAAGTTTTCAAACACTACATATATGGGCATTCAACAGAAAAGAGCCATAATGTAAAAAAAGCAGTTTTGAGTTAATACGACCACTATATACAACCATTCAACCTAGAATATTTTTGGATTAGAGATCATATATACCCACTTTGCATAATAAAACCTTGAGATAAATTGAATAGAAATCTGCCCATACAAACAATCATCTTAAATAAGGTAACCACAAAAAATTTTAGTGACACAAAAAAGTTGAATGTTTAAAGGTGAGACAGCAATTATTATAGGAAAGATCTGTAAACATACTTGTATTGTAATTATTTGTTAACATTGTTATTGAATAATATATAAGAAACAAACTATAACTCCAGAAATAATTTTATTACCAAGAATAAATTTTAATTGTAGCTTTTTAAAAAAGATTGCGGGGCTGCATAGAGTTATGGATAATTATTCCAAAGTTCTTCATTGTGAAAAATCAAATTCTGATTGAATTATGATGCCAACTATACGGTTATGTTTAACATCTATTTTCTAAATGTTGCAATTTTAAAGTTGCAATGACTTGATTACAATACCAAATTTCATTGATTACGGTCAATTGTGATGAAATTAATTACGGTCAATTATGGACATTACTATAGGTGGGCGTCTAAATTTATATTTTAGACGCCCGCAACCACTTTTTTGATTTCTGATTTGGCGTCCGAAAAAATTTGTAATCAAAAACGCATCTTGTAAAACTTTACTTGTCAAAAAGGAAATTATCAACAAGAATGAAAAAATCATATTATTTACATGTTATCTAATTCAATTAAATACAGATTCAGGTATTTTGCCTATGAACTTACATTTACAAACTGCAAATGTCCTGTCAACCCTTGTCTGTCTTAATTACATAAAGCATTAGGAACTACTAACTGAAAACCAGACCAGGTGTAGTTACAATTAAACCGAGCATGTATTTTGCTGCCCCCAATATCTTTCCATGCAATTAAGTTCACAATGGAACTTCGGATAAGAGATGATTTTCCTTCAAGAAGAACAAAATGTGGTTGCAAAGAAATAATTCTTTGTGCACAACAATCAAGAGAGGATTTTTTTTTCGAACCACCATACATAATTATATTCAAATAAAATGTGAATTTTTTAATTTCTATTGATTATATTATTGATAGTATTTTTAAGAAATGACTAAATCAAAAATTTGGACACATTTTGTCAAACCGGGTACTTTATCAGCTTGCTTATGAAAGGAATTGGACTACTTTTTCTTTTGTACATGATAAAAAGAGAAACAAATTGACGCCTGCATGTGTTTTAAATTGAAGCATATTTATTTAATTATGAATTAAAATGTCCAAAAAATGATAAATATGGGTATTACAATTATTGATGATAATGGGAATGCGAGAGACGAAAGTGATAAAAGTGATGACGGTGATGAAACAATTAGAATATAAATGGTGGAGAAAGCGGCGATGGTGATAATAATATTGAAAATTATGAAATTTTGGCATTTTTTCCTAGATGAAACAACACCAGAGCTTCATGAGAAATATTCTGATAATGGTGTTATTGGTCTTGTGACATCCAATTCCTTCAGTTAAATATTCACTTACCATAATGCTTTTTCCATTGCCTTTTTTCATAATGGAAGTTCTCCATCCTTTGTCCAAATCTCCCTTGGACTATTGTTTGCATAAAAAATACTCTTATCATGTATGACTAATGTATGTTCTTTTCTCCTTCATTTAAGACAGGTGGAGTTCTATTCATAGATTCTCTTTCATATGTGGCAATAAAAAATTCATTTTATCTAAAAGGACCTCTCTCCTATATTCAACTGCATCCTCTCCTTCATGACCATCAAATAAACATCTTGATGGAGTTTTTTGATGTTTATAACCCAAAATTCTTATATTATTATTTCAATCTTTAATTCGAATTAAAAAAATTTATTCGAATTAAAAATTTTATTCGTTTTATTCATTTTATTCGTTTTATCCGTTTTATGCATTTTGTTCGTTTTATCCGTTTTATTCAAATTACTAGTTTATTTATTTATAAAATATAGGTCTCATTTCTTTAACAAGATAATATAAACAATAATTATATTTATAATCTATATTACTACTACAATTGCTAGTACTATGACTTAAGGAAAATGTCGGCTACTACTATTTATTATTATCACTATATTCAAGACTAAGGAAAAATAGATTGATAAAGAAAAAAAAATTTTAATTGGATTGGATCATTCGAATTATTATTAATTTTATTATTATTATTATCGTTCGTTTTATTCGAAATTGCTAGTTTTATTCGAATAAAACTTTCAATGTAATTCGAATACTCAAATTCATAACGAATAATTAGAATAATTAGAATAAACCTTATTCGAATAGAAACCCTAAACCAATGTTCTGCAGTACCTGAGCCAATTAAAGTCTTTGCCTCAACTTCAGCAAGAAGAGGTTCTTAAACATAATAGGTGTGATTTTGCCATTGTTAGTTCCAAATTGATGTTAAAAGTCCAAATAATGTCAAAATGCCTTAACATTTTATAAATTTTTCTGCAGCATCTTCATCATCAATAATTCGAATTGTTGGCCTTTATGTGACTCTGGAATAATTTCTGTTTGAAGCCAAATAATTGCCCATTATCTAATACTTTTTTTTGTATTTAGTGTTGGAAAACAATTTTTGCTGCTTCTTTAATAGCCTCCATCTTTCCATTTCCATTATTATCTATCTAACCTTTTCAAATATTCACATATTGCTCTTATTTGATTATATTCAGTAATGCTCGTTTCTTTTGAATCATTAGCAATTGGTTATAAAGAGCATTTAATTTTTGTTCTATGGAATCCTCATTTAACTCATCATCTTCTTCATTATCAAGGACAATTATTGAACCAACTCATTTCCTAATTTGTGTGTACCAGCTGCAACTTTGATGAATGATCATATTTATCAGTCATAAATGGATCTTCCACCTCCCCGTTATTTTTCTTATTTCTAATGGAGCTTTGATCAATTTATTTTTTTGTTCTTGTTTTTCCAAGTTCAATTGATCTTCTTCTTTACTATCACCATTATTACCCCAGTAATCTCTTTCATCATTTAATTGATAAACAAATTAAATGGTATGCATTTCATTGGATTCTGTATTAATTTTATGTCTTTTACCACTAAACTGTCCATTATAAGCTTTTTCTTGATTTTTGTAACTTGGTTTTCTTTTAAAAATATGAACCATTGTAAAGATTTTGGAAACAAATTTGGTTCGTTTTATTCGACTATTCGTTTTATTCAAATTACTCGTTTTATTCGAATTATTCGTTCATTTAAATTATCGAATTATTCATTTATTTGATTATCGAATTACTCGTTTTATTCGATTAACTTTCAATGTAATTCGGATACTCAAATTCATAACGAGTAAAACAAATAATTCAATAAACCTTCGATCGCATGCTTGCAATATTTATAGGCTGTAAATAATTACGGCATTACGGTTTTACGGTCTATGACTTTACGACATTAGAGTGTCATGCAGTGTTGTGACCCGAAACTCTGAGTTTAGGGAAAACCAGAAACAGAAACTAACAGAAACCACCCGAAACTAGTTTAGGTTAGTAGTTTATGTTTATGTTTAGGTTTAGTTTTAGTTTTCTGCTTAGTGTAAGTTCATTTTCCGAAACGTTTCGGGAAGCCAAAAGAGTTTCTGGTCACAACACTGGTGTCATGCCGAGTTTATTTACGTGATGCTGAATTGTTGTAATTCGGGTAAAATTTAATATATATTTTGTGTGAATACATATTTGTGGCTGAAAAAAGGTTCTTTTTAGAAAATTTTTTTTTACAAATTATAACTAACGCTTTGGATGAAAATAAACATCATGACGATACTTCTACTGACAAAAAAAATGATGATGAATATTCTTATAAAAGAGAAAATTTTGGGAAATGTCAAACCCGCAATAGATATAAAACTTATTATTCCTGGTGTCAATCATGTGATTCAAAGCTATTAACTGAATGATGGACTAGTGGCAATGAAACATTGGATGAGTTTATTAAAAGTACACAACTTAAAGCAACAAGATATGATAATTATTATTATCTTCAATGGATTCCTTATAATGATTTAACAAATATTGAAAAGATAGGTGAAGGTGGGTTTGCAACTATATACAAAGCTACTTGGTTAAATGGTTATAAATATACAGCTAGTAATAAAAGAACTAGTAAAGATGTGATTGTGGCATTAAAAAAACTACACGATTCACAGAGTATTTCTGATGAATTTCTTAATGAGGTAAATTATTTTGTTTTTCTATCTATTTTCAGATTTTTTAAATATTATTCTGAAATTCAATATATTTTTTTTAGTTCAGAAATTATGTAATATTTCGTGATAAGTCTGATTTAATTGATGTTTATGGATTAACACAAGATCCAATTACAAAAGAAAATATATTTATATGAAAAATGGAAGTCTTCAAAATCATTTAACTAAAGATTTCAAAATTTTAAAATGGAAACACAAAATTAGAATTCTTTATTATATTATTGAAGGCTTGAAAGTTATTCATGAAAAAGGAATTATTCATCATGATCTTCATGGTGGTAAAATTCTTCGAGGCGATGAATGGGATTCATATATTGCAGACTTAGGATTATCATGCCCAGCTAGTCAACATCATCATCAAACAAAAATGGTATATGTGTAGTACTACCGTATATTGCACCAGAAGTTTTAAAGGAGAGACCATATATAATGGCATCAGATGTATACAGCTTTGGAGTTCTGATGTCTGTAATATCAACTGGCCAACAACCATTTATAATTTGGCACATGATGAATATCTTGCAATGAAAATATGTAAAGGTGCAAGACCTGGTTTCTCAAACAATACACCAAAATTCTATATTGAACTAGCATAGATGCTAATCCAGATAAACATCCAACTGCCGAAGAAATTTATAAGATGATTAAAATTTGGTTCAATTCACTTGATGATTTTACAATGGATAATCTTGAAGATATTGGATATTCAAAAGAACAGCAGGATGAATTAAAGTCAATTAGAAAAGAGTTTGATGAAATGGATGAAATAAAATTTGATCCTTCAACAATTACTGTAACAATTCATCCAAATGCAATTTATACTAGCAGATTATTAAAATTTACAAACTTTCCTCGACCTGTTAATTCCAATAAAGTAACAACAATTATTGGTAATAATAATGGTAATTACTAACATTCAAGCATTGATTATTTTCATTTTATTAATTTTTAAAATCAACAATATTTATTAATATCCACTCTTGTGACAAATATTTTGTAGATTCTAAACAAATTGAATTAGGTATACCAGATGGATTACTTGAATAAGTTGAAACTTGTCATTTTATTACATATTAAATTATTTATTATTTTTTTTATTTATTGGCTACTATATTTCTATATTTTGAGAAATGAAATTATATTTAATAATGATATTATATAAGGTAATAACTTCTCACAATTATCATACCCTTGGATTTTTTTTATTATTTTGAAATTTGGATGTCAAATACGCAACATTAAAATAATGATTTTTTGAGAAGAAAATAAATGTAATTTTAATTGACGAGTTGAAGTGATGACTTATCAATATATCATGTAATATATACATATAATATATAAATAATTTATTAACATATTAAATAAAAATATATTAAAAATTTTAAATTTAATACACGTATCTGAATCATTTAATATAATAAAAATTAGATCTATATTATTAAATAAAAAGCCAATATCTAAATCATTTCAACTTTTTGAACCACTATCGCAGTCAACTTCCAGAAGAGGTTCCCCATTCTCCAGATTTGGTTGTCCCAAATGATTCCTTCCTCCAGAAATACACAACAATGACACAAACTACAGTAGATTGATTGCAAACTCCTGATCTTATTTGGAGGCTCTGATCTGGAAGCTTTGATGTTTTCCCCATGGGAAAAGGCATTATGAGTACATTAAAAAACACCTAGAACTACAGCCTTCAATATATAGCTAGGTTCTGGCCGCATTGATCATACTTGATGCTCAAGAAAAGAAGAAATTTTCAAAATCAGAACCAGATACTGGCCACCAGAAACATGAACTGTGAGAAACATCCAATCTGAAACAACTTGATTTTTAGAAGTTCTTATGGCATTCGCAAAATCCTGGACGAGTCAAAAACACGAATTTGAGAATTGCATCCCTTTTTCAAGAAGAAATAGGTGTGTACAGACTTTCTCAGATCTTCTACACATTGATGATGGCCAAAGACATCTACCTGCACTACCAATAATTTTTTCAATTTGTCAACATTTTTGGCATCCTTTTTTCAACATTACTTTTCTTGATGTAAAATATAATTTCGCATCAATGGCAGTGTAATATCATGTAAACATTTCTAATTTCTAAACGAATTTATTTCAAAATAAATTTATGTGCCCGTTTTTGAAATGAAAATTTTTTTTGAAACAAATGTCTGGAATAAATTGTGGAATGACCCTGGGATGGTGGTGAATTAGGGCAAATGGAAGCATTTCTTCAATGTGACGAATTTCAAAACCACATCCACAGCTTTACCTATATCAGGGAACTTTTGAGCTTAAGAATCCTTCTATGTTTATATGATACAAATTACAGAATTTTTATTTCGAACCACATTAAAAATCAATATGCAATTATACAAATTTATCAAATTTATATTACTGGAATAATAGCAATAAAGTTTATTTTAATACAATCAAATTTAACTATTACAGTCATCAATATATCATTATATACTTTTATATCACTATTCTCATTGTCCTTTTTTTACAAATCTTCAATTCCATGTTCAAATGCTGATTCATTACCATCTGAATCTGTAACATAACCTTTACCAAGTTCTTCTTGCCTTGACAGACCTGGTAATATCTGCAATTATTATTTGTGAATTATTTATACAATCCTATAAAGTAAAAATAGAAAATAATTAGTAATAATATATATACGGTATATTATGTTAATTACTTGTAAGTATCATGCAAAAATAATTATTTATATATAATAGCGTTCCCGCAAATTTTGGTATTAATTATAATGTCGATCAATAACCGATAAAAATTTGCACAAACGGTGAAAACGCTCAACGAATAATTAAATGAGAATATTAAAACTTTCGTTGATGCATTTGAAATATATTTGCAACATTATCTTGATCTTTCGAATCATCCATTATTACTATTCCTATTTCAGCATTAGTTGGTTCAGTAATCGTAACGATAGGAACTAGGCGAACACTGGAGGAGACATCTTTCTTTTGTTATCTATTTGCTGCATAATAAAAGTAAAGTAATAAAGTTTTGCTCGAGTTACTATTCATAAATTCGTAATACATAACACACAACTCAATCTTAATTCAAATTATTCGTTTTATTTCGAATTATTCATTTTATTTCGAACTATTCGTTTTATTATTTCGAATTATTCGAATTACTCATTTTATTTGAATTATTAAATTAAATATATAAATAAATATTAAAAAATGATTCTTTCCTGTGATTGAAAGGTCATTTTAGAAAAGTTTGGAAAGGTGGCTTCATGAACCCATTATAATTATTGAAAATATTGAAAAAAAAAATATTAGATATTATGATATTTTAATTAATTTATTATCTTTCACTATTATGGTGGATCTTTTGAGAATTTACTTCTAGTTCATCTATTATTATAATTGATACTAAGGTTTCCAGTCCTCTTTGTAGCCAACAAAATTAATTTTTTATAGACCAACTATTTTTATTAATGCCAAAATTGGGCAAAATTATTTTTAAATTTATGTTCATTTTTATAAAAGCCCAAACCATTCCCAAAGCTTTTTTTTTTTTTGAAATAGTTTGAAAGTGGAAATCTTAATTGATATCAAGTGAAAACGTAAAAAAATAGTTTCATTATTATTAGTAGTAGCAGCAACATTAGTAGCAGTATCAGTATCAGCATTATAATAACATTCCTTATAGTTATCAGTTAATATTTTTTGGGCAATATCAATATATTTCTGCTCCATCCTTGATTCTTCTCATAATATTTCAACTTGATTCTTGGATCTAAAATAAATTTAATGAATAATAAATGAATATTTTTAAAATATATATATATTTAAAGAAAATTTACTTGTAAATTTGAATAACATTACTATACATACATAATAACAAGACAAAGGTTCAAAGGTTATATATAACATTTAACCCGTGTGACCCGCGGGTAAAATTATATTTATGACACGACCCAAACTCTAGTTGTTGTTATTATTAATATCAGTATTAATATTAATCTTCCGAAATGCCGAAATTACATAGTAGTAGAAAATTTTTTATGTAATATAATAAATGCATTGATTAAATTTGATTTTACTATTCTAATTCTCCTTAACCGACGGATCACTTATGCCAGGTCAAATTTTGCCAGCATTATGGCAAATTCTAGTAACACTTCCGTGTAATACTGGTCAATTTTGACCTGGCGCAAGTTGCATAAGTTTTCTAATCAACACATCAAGATGTTAATGTACCATATCTTCTGATCCACTTCTTTGTTATAACGAATATTGATTGATGTAATTCACACACACACACACATATATATACATACAGATCCATATTTTATTAAGTAAAATGGGTATGTTTCTAATCTAAAAATGCTCTTTGAAATGAGGTTTTTGGGGTGTGGTAGTTACGTTTATTTATTAAAATTTTCATTTACATTGTTAGAAAAAACTCCTCCCAAGTAAGTATCTTTATTATTGTTGTTGTTGTTTTTGTTGTTTGTTATTGTTGTTATTGTTTAGTAACAAATGCCGATCATTTCGATTTAATTAAAACAAGTAGGATTTGATTAGACAATTTATAATAATATATTTTTAAATTCAAAATGTGACTGGTTATTCAAATTGGGTAATCATAGAACTTATTTTTTATTTATCAATATTCATTTTTAAACAAAATTAAATGATCGTATTAAGAGAAAAGAAAAGAAAAAGGTCGGTAAAGTTGATAATGATAATGAAGAAGCTGATGAAACTGTAGTAATGATGATAAAAGGCAACAACAACAACAACAACAACAACAACAATAATAATGTGTTTGTAAAATCGTAATTTTTGAATTATCTTATTTATTTTATCAAGTAATAATAGTTCCTGGCGAAAATATTCTTAGTGGATCAGTTTTTAGTAAAAATGTAGTAATTAAAATTTAACTGATAGTGTATCATAAAATCATCTATTCTCAATAATTAATAATAAGGCGATATTTCATTAAATGACTTATAAAAGAGCATTCTCAAAAATACACATGATGTATTATTCATTTTAACATTAAATTCATTACATTGTAAACATAAGTTTTTTAATAAAAGGATAATTCTAATATTTTGTAAAAAAAACTTTAAAATTATATATTCTATCTTGGAAATCGAATTTTCTATTGTCTTTATTTTGGTATTTTATCTACTCCCAACTCACCAGTTTCTGCTCTCCCTTTTGGAACTGCAAGCATTAAATCAGGAGTGAGCCGATTTTTCTTATCCACATCACCTAGCAAAAATAAGTTGTTTTACTTGTTGTTCATTATATATGCTTGCCGTCTCATTTTCCAGATTATTTTATTGATCACAAAACCACTACAAATTGTCCTGACATTTTACATTAATGTTAAATGGTTTTGAGTTAAGGATACCGGCTGCAACTTTTGATGATGGTTGCTACCATCTTTGCGTCATATAAAAATGATTGCAACCACTGGTTGCAACCACCTTTACAACCATTTTGTTTCCTTTTTTGGATTGCGACATGGAACACTATTTTGAGTAATTTCCTTTTAAAATGCATCATAAAACTGAATGTTTTGCAATTGCATTATTGGGATACATCCATCCACCCACAAATTATGTCTCAATTATTGGAGAAAATGGAATTACTGTGATATCCCACAATCAATTTATTATCATCTATTACTTTTTTCTTAGTAAAAATTTAAATTAGTTTACTTTTATCAATATTAAAAAGAGTTTCACTTTTATTATCATCTTTGTTATATTTATTTTTCGTTTTGCCAATTCTTTTTTGATGCCATCCTTGGACCATTCATCAATTTGGGAATAAAATAAATTATGAACAATAATAATCTTACCTTTACTTGGCAATGGAATGCTAATTAAAATTTAGGCACAGTAGATTCAGAAGTTGTGTGATTTGGTTTCGCAAAATCTTTGTCCATTTAAAGCATTTTTAGCATCTTTTGGCGAAGAAATATTTCATTCACCAAATTTTGGTAAATAGCATGCATATATATGACCAGATAAGCCATCTTTTATTGTCCAAGAAAAATATGACCAAGTGGAAATTCCTTCTAAGGTTGATGCTAATTTTCCACCAGGATTAAATTTATATTAAAAAGAGAATTATTTTTAATTCGAAATTGTATTATTTATATGCAAGCCATACTAAAATATACAATAAATAAAATCCGGTTGCTATAATTCTAACCAGTTTTTTTTAAAATACGATTTTGGGGCCCTGACAAAGGACTGATATAGACAGCAGAAATGGGTCAAATTTTTCTGCAATCTTTTTTTTTTTTTTTTGGGGCAAAATAATACATTATTTTAATTTTAGATCTCAAGAACCCAAGACAATGGCATTCATGATTTTACTTAAACATAATTAATCTTGTTGGAATTGTTGCTTGGTACGTTCTGAAGAAAATATGTTATTTTTATTTCTTTCCTTAAGTAATATTTAATTTACATACATTATGTAGTTATGTTCGCCATAAGGCTTTGTTATCATAATAACAAGCAAACAATCGAATAGTGTGAGAATTGACCAAGATTTGTTTTGGATAATTATATATTAAATTTAAGAAACCATTGAGGTACACTTTAGGCAATTTAGAAATACCAAAAAACGAATCAATATATGACATTTTACATTGGAGATTTATAGATATTGAAAAATTACTTTGGGTCTCAAATACATGTATTTTAAAATTATCATGTTCCTTGGACATAAAGGCTAATCCGACCTGACAATCTAAGGATACGATGATGCAATCAAAATTCAGAGGGTTGCGTGGCTCTGAATTTTATTAAATGGCATTATCCTCAAAGAGGTCATTGAACCCTCTTACTTGTTGGAGCCTCAAACGTTTCAGTAGTTCTTCAAATGATGTAGACATATTATACAGAAGAAAGTGCTTACATGTTTGTAGAAAAGGAAATTTTATTAAACCTGATACCCAAGTTCAATATGTTAGGTTTAATATCATTCATTTTATTTTTCAGAAATGGGGTTTCTTTTCTTTCTTTTGCATGGCCTTGGTATCATTACTTGGGTGATGCACTTTATTTATTTAGTAAAGACTAAGCCACAATAATTATTGACAAAAACGGGGGAATATACACTTATCATACGCTCTTGCATGAATTATTGACAAAAACAGGAGATTCGCGGATAATCCACATGCGTTTTTTTATTGTTTTCCTGATGTAAAAAGAAAATTATTTACTTTCAAAATGTTACACGCAATGTACTTTAAAATAATTTCCAAAAAAAAAAATTTCAACAGAGATTTGAGAGATTGGAATTCCGAAAATTTTTAACAATATCTTTTTAAGTTATTATGATGAATATTCTGTCTATTGTAACCTCTAAAAATTTGTTTTTTCCTCCAAAAAAGATTACAATAACCATTTTTTATTAAAACAATTTCAAAGAAAACGTTATTTTGAAATATTGAAAAAACTACTTGTGCTACATAACAAAAAATCGAGTCAGGGTCCAAGAACATACTATTGACAGGAATAGCGGACGGCTAAAATGAATTTTAAGCAAATACGCGTCTACTATCATTTTGCAAATTCTGGCCGACCAAACGAAAAAACAGAGGGTGGGTTGGTGTACAAATTCATCACCTTTAACATTTTAAAATGTATAGCATTTTCAAAAAAAAGAATATAATTTATATATATTAATATAGAATTTATTTTTGGAAACTAGAATATGATTCGTGAGCGTGACTTTGTCACTTTTGTGAAAGAAATTTTGTTGAAATTTCATATAATTGGTAAATAACACCACAGTAAAGTTTATTAAATAGAAGTTTTTAATAGTAGGCTGAACGAGTACATCATTTTTAACATATTCTTGGCTTAAATAAATAAACTCAATATTAATGGAATAAAGGAAAATATTGAATTATTATTTATAATGGTAAAGGAGTTGAGGCTTTTTCTTTTAAACAATTATATTATTTTAATCATTGATCGATTTGCAATGAAAGCATCTTTGTCTAATGAAACTATTTGAGGATTTATCCAAAAAGTACTTCTACTTGGAGCAACATATATATACTTGACCTAGGAGAGCATGCGATAATCCAATGAGACTAAAATTGATGGAAGGCTTATACCTTATGTTCTGTGTGTTGTAAGGGAAAAAGCATTTTTTTAAAGGGAATTATACAGTTCCATCATATCAGAAAAACAACTCTTGACTAAATTTCCAAGAAAGATATCTATCTAAAACTATACCAAAGTTCCTTTTTCTATCATATTGTCATTAATGTACATTACACGTACACCTTGTTGTGATCTAGGAGAATGAGGCGAGTTTGTTTATTTTTATTGTTGTCAGGTTTTGTGATTAATTATAATATCAATTACATATCCAAAAATTTGTAAGTAACATATTACACACCATCATATTAAATCTTTCGAAAAGCCAACTATATTGATTGAGTCTAGTATTCGTTCAAATGTTTTTTGCTGGTTTAATTCATTTAGTTTTTGGGTTAAAGGCCTATGAATTTCCTCAGTTAAATTTCCAAACCACTTTCTGACAAAAGTAATCATTATTTTGTCTCTTCCAAACTGATGATTTATAAACTGGTAAACCTGTTACATAAGGTGGTAATTGAGCCAAGTCGCCAATTATGATTACACACAAGTTTCCAAAAGCAATTAATTGTATTATTGTAAACGTTTTTGATGTGAATATAAATATGCAGTAGATACCATTGAAATCTCATCAATGGCTATCGCGTCAAATTTTTAGAGTTCTTGAAAAATATTCGAATTAAAGAATGCAAGTGTTTATATCCGTTTATATCCACTAACATTTTCTAACACGTGTAACGCAGAACGTATGGTTTTTCCACTAATGTTTAAAATAGCTATTGCTGTTGGAGCCAATAATAAAAAAAATTTTCTTGCATAATAATTCATCAATAATAAAATTTGTTACGTAAAAATTACTTGTTCCAGCTGATCCTGTATATAATAATAATAAAAAATGATATTTGTTATTTTGTTTTGAGGTCCTAAAATGAATTTTTATCATTGGATAAAAATTTTTATTATAAATAACTCGGTTTGATAATTTTTATATGCATTTTTCATTTACACATCTATCCATATATCATCTATATATACATTTACACAATATTTCCCTATTCAAAGTTTTTTTTATGCGATCGAACTCTAATAATACATACAAAATGTGATATAAAATATAAAAAGAAGGTGATAAATGATCTAAGCTTTTTTATTAATATTTAGAGAATTTTTTGGTATCACAAAAATTGTTTATATATGCAGACTGCAACAAACAAAGTGAACATTTAGTCACAAGGAAAACTTCAGGGTTTAAAATCACTGATATAATGTGATTGTGAAATATAAAGAAAACGTTGTTTTTAAAACCACTTAACAACACAATATTTTAAAGTAAACATCCAAAATTAATGGGGGTGTTTGGACACAAAATCCTGATTGGCTAGTTTGAATTTCATTCGGTCATATTAATATGAATCATGGCAACAATAAACAATTTTACGATTATCCGTTTCATAACTGCACTACAAACGAACTTCTTTTTTTAAAAAAAGATTTACTAGAACTCTTTTGCAGATTATTAATCAGATTTTTATTTGACTTTTCACTCCACTATAAAACTTATCAAAGGTAACTATAATATCAATCAATTATTGAACAAAAATATTTGGAGGTTGAAGAACTGTAAACAATTATGTGATAAGAAAAAAAACTGAACAGTATTCAGTTTTTTTCATTTAATAAAATGGTAACTGAAATTCACGAATTACTTGGAAAAGGAATCGCTGCCTTCACTATAAAAAGCTTCTAAGGAAAAGACGATAGAAGCGATTCAGGAATGGCTAATAAGACAAAGAAAAAAAAGACATGAGTAAAGACAATGAAGAAGGAGAAATTAATGATATTAATAATCATAGCAATAATAACAACAATAATGAAAGTGTAGTGTACATAGGCAACCCGTTAAACCAAAGGCAATTGTACAGGAACTTTTCTTCGGATTAACAGAGTTTTTTATAATCCAAAGTTATTATTAGAGTCATAAATTAATTCGGATAAACGAGGTAATAAATCTAAAAATTTAGGATTTAGAATTTCCTTTATCCATTTTCTGGCAATGAATTGATTTGGATTCAATGATAAAAAATAATCGCTCTTTTTTAGAATTTCAGAAACAGTAGATTTGCTGACATTATATTTAGATGCAAGCTGGTTATTTTTTTATGTTTGGTCTTTATTTTTTTCGATGCATATTTATATTTTTTTGTGAGATTGTTATAGGCGTATGTTTTCTTTTTGATACCCCAACTTCTTTTCAGTAGATTTTTTTCCTCTTGTTTGCACTAGAGGAAAATTTTTGCTGAATCCCATCTACAAAAATTCTTCATGACTATTAAATTTCTATAAAATAGTTTTTCGTGCAACATGTACAAAAATTAATAACCAGGGTGTGATCGAATTAAGCATTAAGGACAAAATCTATGAACAAATATACTAACAAGCGTTTATTAATTATTCAATAGTTTATATAAGATCTATGAACAAAATATTCTAACGAACATTTATCAATTTGTGTAGGAGTAATCGAAGTAAGCTTTAAGGACAAGATCTATGAACAAAATATAATAACAAACGTTTTATTAATTATTCAATAGTCTGTATAGGAGTGATTGAAGTAAGCGTTAATGGCAAGATCTATGAAGCTTGCGAAGCAAGTTTTACAAAAATAAATGTTTTATCAATTATTCAATAGTTATTTATTTATGTATATAAATTTCTTTTATTTTAACTTATATTTAATAACATCACTATGACAAATAATTAAATGAATAAAGTCAGAGATAGAACACCTTTTAATTTAATCATCATTGTTGCTTGTTTATTATTCTAATCATTATTTATGTATATAGGTAAAGAAAAACTTTAATGTCTATTTATTTATTATATTACTTTTAAAATAAATGATTTTACTATAAAAGACATACCTAAGTGATCAAAAATCTACAAATATTCATCATAATGTAATATTTGGACATTTACTTCTACTTATACTTGCGATTGGACGCGTCAAACAAAATTTTACATATATGAATATAAAGGCAAAATTTGACTTTGAGAGTCAGATTATTTTCGGTTTTATTAACAACCTGCTTTAAAAATTTTCTTAAAGCAGATACATATGATAAAGAAGTTATTACCTCAGATTTGGCGGTGGTTGCTACACAGCAAGGGTACTAAATGGGGATTAGAAGTCACTTGATTGTAAAATTTTACTATGTTTTACTATGATCTGCAGTAGTGATAGTAGTTTTTCGGAAAATGGCAACAAGGTTACAAAAAAAGATTAACGATTTGGATAGAATTCTAAAAGAAAAAAACATAACTTATTAAAGAAAGACAAAAATTTTAAACCAATGAATATAAGCTACATTAAGTGGAAAAAATATGTGAGGATCTTGAAATCAGTAAAGAAGAATATAAATCATATTTGGTAAATATAAATATATTTGTATTATCAAAATTTTAATGATCTGTTTATTCATTGATTTAATATAAATTATTTGTTATATATATGTAGATGGAAATCAGAACTATAATGAAATATTTCAAAGTTGATATAGATGTTTCTTATAACAGACAAGACACCATCTTAATTGCTAAAATTGTTAATAAGGTATATAAATTACATATTCTGACTAGATTTGTTTACGAAAATTTATTAAAAAAATATTTGCATTTAGTTCATTACATGAAATCCTGATGCAAATGTTAGTCTCAACAATTGACCAGTAAAGGAGTTGGTTAAGAAATGCATACAACATCAAAGTAAAATATCTAATTAAATTTTGATTTTCACACTTGGTGCACATTCAATGAAGGAAAAAATGGTTGTGCTAACATCTTTATTTAAAAATTTTTAATGCAAATTAAGGAGATTATTTTTTATATTGGTAAAAATAAAAACAACAATAAAAGTAAGATAGAATTAAATATTCGTCATGGATATAATAATTACTTTGAATAATATTAATTATATCCCTTAAACGAACGATCAAAGTATTCTTTAGTAGTAACACAAAATAATTTTTTGATCACGATCTTGCATTCTTATTGGCCAATTTAACGATCTGCAAAGTAAAAGTAGTCAATCGACCAACTTTTAAGGAAGATTTTACGAAAACCACAAGGATAACAACCGAATTTTTATTCACAGATCAATCAGCTGAATTGCAAAGATTATTTTCGTATTAGGAAGTGAAAAAGTTTTTTATAACAGAAAAAAAATTTCGGCTATCAATAGCCGAAAAACCGTTTAAGGGATATACTATTAGTATTAGATAATAATGAAAATGAAGATGATATTGATGAAATTTATAATGTTAAAATGAAAGTATCATTGATGACGATGATTATGAAACTTATAACGATGTTGAAGATGACACCATTGATGATAATAATAATGATGTAAATGTAATTGATACTGAAGATGAAGATAATACAAGTAACATATTTATTTATTTATTTATTCATTTATTCATTTATGGTGTGAGCAACATTATTACTTTAAAGGAAAAAAAACAACCAATAAACTTTATTAGGTAATAATAATGTCAATAAAAAAAATAATAAAGATATTATTTTCATTAATTTACTTGTTATTATAATTTCTGATCAATTGGCTATGTGATGTTTATTATTATATTTTTAAAAAATTTATATCATATATATATTAATAAAGATATATATATATATAAGAACGTGTTTAACACATTAATTCCCGCATTATGTAAATTTATTTTCGTATAGATAATAAAGCTAACCAATAGAAACTGATGAACAAATTGATTCAAACAATTTCGATTCGATCAATGTTAATCCTCCTAAATTAAGAAGTACACTAATAAAAAAATAATTTATAAAGAATAAGTGAGAATTGATTTCAAAATTTTGGAGGTGAAAATACAGTCAAATGGTTAAATATGAAATTGGTATTTTTTTTGCCTTGTGTTTACTCGTCGACTCCAATATGATCTCAAACTCTAGAAGATTGACAAATGACCTAATTTTTGGTCAAATAAAAAATATCTAAAACACTACAAGATGAATTAAGCAACATTTATTCTTAGAATCTATTTTTATGTTTAATTTTTGATGAATCAAATCATTAAAATACAAGATAATGAAAAAGCAATAAAAGTGATTATTGGAAAATTATTTAAAAACATTATTTATGTGATTTTTCGTTTAATTTAATCACTATTGTAAGTTGGAATTATTAAATGTTTAGAAACCCCATGTTTAGAAACTTTGTGTGAATGGATTTCACTTTCTTCAACTTGTATAATTGTTTCGTTTGTTTCTTTTAATATTTTATTTACGTTGTATAAATGAATTATTAACATTACCATTTTCTTACGAAACAATTCGTCACTGTCTTCATTGATTGGGATTTCCAAACACTTTAATCTCCTAACACGATGTAATGGAAAGTATTTTCTATCTACTATTAATATTTCTAACATGAAGTCTAAAAAAATATATTAATATTAAAAAAGGTTAAGAATTAAAAAATGGTCGAAGTAAATAATATTATACTTGCTATATATATTGTAAGAGAATTGTTGGTATTTTTTTCCAGTTTAAAAGTTCCTCATTTTCCAAATTCCCATGATTTATTATTTTATCAAAAGCAGGGTTGGCAAATTGACTGGTCCATTGAGAACTGATGGACTTTGAGCTGGTCCATTGCCATTAATAAAATACTAAATATAGTTAAAATGTTACACTAATGGACCATCAATGGACCACCAATGGACCACACATTCACCAACCCTGATCAAAAGAATCTTTTGAAAATTTTAATAATTTTAGATGATTGCTGCAGATATGATCAACAGTGACAGGACCTTTTTCCCTAGGACCATACAATATTTCTGAAAAAAAAATCCATAAATAAATGTTCTTCCATTTATATAGCCATGTATATCGGGTTTTCTACTTGGTCTGGATAAAGATCTGTTTTGCTCCTTTGTGGCCATACTTATGTTGTAATCCCTATAAAAAATTTTTTTTTAAAATAGCAATTTTTTTAAAATCATTATAATTTATAATGAACAACTCACCATTGGTAGGATAATCTATATAAATCCCAAAATACAAAATTTTTAATGGGTGCAACCACATCATGTGACCAAGTTGCTTCCAATATATTTTCATGAGTTTTATACTGCGAGCGTGCAATCCGAGTTTCCTATTTAATAGGTTATTTGTAGCTCAACACACAGCCTACCCGCTGGCTTATGGTTGATTCTATGGTTTGACACACAGCCTACCCACTGACTTACAGTCAAGGTTTCCTTTATTTATAAATGTGACACACAGCCTACCAGCTCACTTACGGTCAAAAGTTAATAAAATAACTTTTATCCCTTTAGATAAAAGGGTCCCTAGGTTCTATATGTGCAATTATATCCCAAAGGTGTCCCCTTGAGATGTATCTCAATAATTAGAATGTTGGTTATTTACTAAGTACGGCAAAGGTTTCCCCTTGGTGGTTTATTTATTAATTAGAGATTATTATTTAGGGTAAAATATGTTATGTGTTTTATTAGCGATAATAATAATATTATTACAATGTGTTAGAAAAGATTAATTATTAGATCAATAATCAAAAGATTATTATGAACATGATGATTCTGACTTGGTCTAAAACCAAGTCCTTTTATACCTCTTGAGGCATTACAAATAACATGACTTTTACTCTAGTTTGTCCAATAAACTATGCTTATTAATAAAATAAATATTTGGGTCAACTGAGCATTACAAATAATAATTAATAATTTAAAGTAAATATTTAGATCAGCTGAACAAATTCTTGAAATATAATTATAGAAATATGAATATGAGTAATTGTGCGCAATGTGTGGCGCAGTATTTTCACAAAATATAACATTAAAAATAAAAATAGAAATGATGTAATTTTTACGTGACTTCCGCAGTAATTTGGTGGGACCTCTCTATCGGTCCTTATTTTACTATCTCACAATACATTTTTTTTTTTTAAGTTCATAAAGCAAGATAATAAATTTTGTGCTGCCTCAAGGAAGTTAAATAAATCATCATTATCAAAGAAATTCATAGGGATTCCATAACATCCTTTTTTTTCTAAATATAAGTTTACAAATTCTAATAGATCGTCTGGCAGAGATATAATGTCAAAACCTTGATTTACTTCATCCCATAAGTTGAAAAATTGTAGTCGTTCAATTAGATCAGGATGTAAATTCATAACATCAATTATCCCAGATAATAGGGGATTATTATTGCTGATCATAAAAGACCCAATCGATTCAGAGATAACTTTAACCAGGGTTGGCAAATGTGCAGTCCATTGATGGTCTATTGGTGGTCCATTGGGTCCATTAGTGTAACACTTTGACCATATTTAGTATTTTATTAATTGCAATGGACCAGTCCAAAATCCATCTTTCTCAATGGACTAGTCAATTTTCCAACCCTGACTTTAACCACCAATGGAATATTTTTTAATAACATAACTAAAAACAACAGAAAATAATAATAAGAATTATTATTGAGAATGTGTATAATTGAGAAAAAGCTTGTAAATTGTCTTACAGAATGAATAATTTCAATAGCTGATTCCAATTTAGTCAGTGAAGAGTCAACATTTATCTTTTTTAAGCTTAACCAACCGAATTGCATCACATGTTTATTGACGAAAAAAATGAATTGTGTATATTTGTTTAGGCGAGCCGCTTCATCACACAGGTGCCAAAACTTAGTTAAGTCTTTGTTATTTTCGTGATCTTTTTCAATCTTTTCAACCTTTTTTCCCTAATAAAACAAATATATATGTATAAGATTTCAAATTAATATTTTTCATCAATTAATTGTTTGTATTGCTAGCTTGCTATATGAATTCAGATTTAAGCAGTCTATCAAATTGGATTTTACAATAAGAACTATTAAGGATGCCTGTGCTCTCCATAGAGTTGCCTTTCTAAACTATTCCAAAACTAGTCTAGAAGGGGTTTAATAGTGCCTAACTAGTTTCAAAAAGCAACTCTAGTATTCTAACAAGGGGATCTCAGACCTGTCTAAGGTTGTGGGCGAAACCTCTTAATGACTGTCGAAACTCTGTCAAAACTCTAATGAACAATTAATGTGTAACCTGTCAAAACTCTGATGATTGGCGAAAACCCCAAATGCGAAACTCTGCCAAAACTCTAATAAACAATTAATGTGTAACCTGTCGAAACTCTGTCGATTGATTTCTGGAGGAGTTTCTCCCGCAACCTTAGACCTGTCTCAAACGAGTTGTTTATTTTACCAAGAAATCTGTATTAAATTGATAGACTGCTTAGGTATGAAGATAATTTCATGATTTGTAATCGAATTTAAAATCCCCTCTAATTTCATCAAGAAAAGTTAAAAGGAATAAAAAATTTCCTAGTATCCAAAGAAAATTATACTAATTTATTAACATTAATTCATAAATTAAAAACAAATGTAACTTGCCATTTGATCACTATATTTCTGATAAAGATAAAGCTGGATAGATCTGACGTACTGGAATTAGTTGATACAAGACATGTAGACCGAGTAAATCAAAGATTTAAATAAAGAGGATTTTTCCTTTCTTTTGTTCATATAATTCCAAAAATTATCACAATCCCTAACACTCTCCCTGCAAATGACATCTGTACTGTTGACATTTTCTTCAGAGAAAAGATTTATGTTTTAACTATTTAAAATGTATATTAAATAATTTAGTTATTTGAATAAATTTCCTTACCATCAATTTCTTTCAATCCTTTTTTCTTTTTACTCAATTTTTTCTTTTTATTACTGTCACTGGACATTTTTCTTTGATAATAATAATAATATCATAACAATAAAAAATCAACGCTAAAACAAAATTAATGATAATAAAGATTATAAAGCAAACTTAAAAAATTAAAAAAAAAGTATATATATATTGATATATAAATAGTTTTTTTTTATTAAAAAGGAAAAAAATTTTTTAAGAGGAGAACACATGTCTTTAGACCATTTTTGGGATAAAATAATGTGGTCACGAACTTTATCAATAGGTGTAACATGATCATGAGAATGTTAATTGATTGTGAAATTCTACTTATTCTATATACTTTAGGATTTTAATTTATCATATACTAGTGTAAATACTTGTATAAATCAATTAAATTGTTAATTGTTACAGTATTCAATTTTCAGATTATCATCATCACGATCATTATCATCAACAATTATACACAGTCAATCTTGATATAAGAGAACCCCTGGGATGACAAATTTCTTCACTATAGCACGATTTTCTTATAATTCTTATTAACATTAACAATATAAATTGTGCTACAGATAATATCTGTGTATGGGAAGAAGCATAATGGACATTTGATTTCATTGGCTAAATTTTGTGACGATCTCCCTTCCAGATATCACGCAACAATTAAATTTTATTGGCTTGAAAATCGTTACGCAAATTTGAAAAACAAAATATTAATATTAATATTAATATCGGAGGGAATGATAAAAATAAAATGTTTATAAAAAAATTAATATAGTATTTCTTTATTGAATGTTTTTAATACATAGGCTTGGTTTTTCATTATACAATCTAATATATTATTTGCCTTTAACTTTTTATTGACTTCATCAAATCAACATTTTACCTTTGATCATGAGGGTTATGCAGGAAATCTTGCTGATTTTTGGTGTTCTCATTCTGTATCAAAATTGTGGAAGAGAATGCATAGAATGGCTTATGAATTAGATTATCAGGGGCTGATTGATTCACTGAAGCAACTATTTTAGATTTTTTTATTAGTCAATTGGCATAAAATATTGCTTGTTAAATGAACTTTAATCTTT